TTATATAATACTGAGGGCTTTGTCCCTCTGTGACAATATATCATAACTTAAAGATATCATTCCTAATCATGCGATGGTGACTAAAAAGACTGATCTTATCTTAAAGAGAGATAATTATAAAGATTTATCTGCCATAGTGTTGCTTAAAGTAAAGCTGGAAACAATCTGGAAGATTATTTAAATATATAACAAACTACTATAAACCATAATAAAGAGTAGTAAAAAATGTGATGGTATGAAAAATGTTCATGATATAGTGTAAAAGAAAACAGTAGGTCAGAAATTAGTATTTATGGTATGTCAGTCATGTGGGAAAATGTACATATATGTAATATTCACTTTTAAAATTGCTGGAATGATACATACCAAAATAAAAGTTGTCCTCAATGGTAGGAATCTGTGCTTGTATGTACTCGTATTTCCTAAAGCTTGTAAAGTGAAAATTATTATTTTCTCTCTACTTCTATTTTGGTATTTGAGGAGTTTGGATGTGTTGTCCCCTCCAAAACTCATGTAGAAATTTGATCCCCAATGTGGCAGTGTTGGAAACTGATTGAGTCATGGGGTGGATCCCTCATGAATGGATTAATGCTGTCCCTGGGGGAGGGGGGATTAATGAGTGAGTTCTCGATTGATTAGTTCTCGTGAGAGCTCGTTGCTTAAAAAGACCCTGGCACCTCTTCTCTCTCTCTCTCTCTCTCTTCCTCTCTTGCCATGTGATCTGCTTGTACCCACCGGCTGCTGCCACTTTCCACCATGAGTAGAAGCAGACTGAGGCCCATGCCAGATGCAGCTGTCCCAGAATCATAAGCCAAATAAACCTCTCTTCTTTATAAATCACCCAGTCTCAGGTATTTCTGTTATAGCAACACAGGTGGACTAAAACAGAAAATTGGTACTGAGGAGTGGGGTGTTGCTAAACAGATTCCTGAAAATGTGGATGTATCTTTGGAGCTGGGTAATGGGCAAAGGTTGGAAGAGGTTGGAGAACTTAAAAGAAGAGAAAAAGATGAGGGAAAGTTTGGAATGTCTTAGAGACTTATGTGGTGGTGAGCAGAATGCTGATAGAAATGTGGACAGTAAAGGCCATGTGGATGATGAGGTCTCAGATAGGAATGAGGAACTTACTGGGAATTGGACAAAAGATCACCCTTGCTACACCATAGCAGGGAAACTGGCTTGCACTTTGTTGAAGTTGGAACTTAAGAGTTGTGAACCAGAGCATTTGGTCAAAGAAATTTCTAAGCAGCAAAGCATTAAGGAAGCTGCATGGTTACTTTTAAGAGCCTACTCTGAGTTGGCAGCAAAACCATGATGTAAAGCCAGAATTTAAAAGGGAATCAGAGCATAAAGATTTGGAAAATTTGCAGCGTGACCATGTGGTAAAGAAGCAGAGAGCCAGTAAAAAATGCAAGGGCAAAGCAGATAAACTGGTTGCTAAAGACATTACCTTGGCACTGAGGCAGCCAGATGCTAATAGAGCAGAAAATGAGAAGAGAGCCCTCAGGCATTTCAGAAGTCTCGAACGGGGCCCCACCCATCACAGACCCTGAAGCCTAGAAGATGAGTTATCCTGGAGGAGAGACCTGGGGCACAGCTGCCCTCAGGATCCTGCTCCCTGCATCCCAGCTACTCCAAGTGTGGTTCATGCAGCAGCCCTGGAGAGTAGAGGCCCGAAATCTTGGTGGCATCCATGTTGTGTTAAGTCTGCAGGCTGGTGGGACACGAGAACAGTGGAGGTGTGGCAGCCTCCACCTAGCTTCTAGGGGCTGTATGGAAAAGCCTGGGGGCCCAGGCAGAGACTTGCTGCAGGGGTGGAGCCACTGCAGAGACCATCTACTAGAGCAATGCTGAGCAGGCAAGTGGGGTCAGAGCCCCCACAGAGAGCTGCCACCAGGGAAATGTCTAGTATAGCCAATGCAGCAGGGCTGCCACCAGGACCCCGGAACTTTGGGGCCACTGGTAACATGCAACACAGGCCTGGAAAAGCCACAGGCACCAGTGTGGCCCACTGGGCTGTGCCTGGCAGAGCTGTGGGAACAAGGCTGCCTGATGCTTTGGGGGCCCAAATGCCCCATTGTGCCCAGGACACAGGACTTGAAATCCAAAAAGATTATTTTGGAGCTTTAAAATTTAATGTCTGTCCTGCTGGGTTTTGGACTTGTTTGGGGCCTCTTTCTCCTTTCTTCTGGCCTATTCCTCCCTTTTGGAATGGGAATGTGTACCCAATGTCTGCTCCACCATTGTTTCACAGCTGGAAGGACTTTTGCTTTTGGCCTCAGAGGAGACTTTGGACTTTGAACTTTTAAGTTGGTGCTGCAACAAGCTAAGACTTTTGGGACTGTTGGGATAGAATTTTGGGATTGTATTTTGTATGTGAGAGTGACATGAGTTTGGGGGGCCAGGGGTGGAATGATGGAGTTTGGATGTGTTGTCCCTTCCAAACTCATGTGGAAATTTGATCTCCAATGTGGCAGTGTTGGAAACTGATTCAGTCATGGGGGCGGATCCCTCATGAATTGATTAAGGCTCTCCCTGGGGGAGGGGGGATTAATGAGTGAGTTCTCACTTGATTAGTTCCCTCAAGAGCACGTTGCTTAAAAAGACCCTGGCACCTCCTCTCTCTCTCTCTCTCTCTCTCTCTCTTTTGCTTCCTGTCACCATGTGATCTGCTTGTACCCGCTGGCTGCCTGCCACTTTCCGCCATGAGTAGAAGCAGCCTGAGGCCCGTGCCAGATGCAGCTGTCCCAGAATCATAAGCCAGATAAGCCTCTCTTCTTTATAAATTACCCAGTCTCAGGTAATTCTGTCATAGCAACACAAAATGGACTAAAACAATATTATTTTAAATGTCATACCATTAGTAATTGCATGTCATCCAAGAAAAGGGAGAAGAGGAGAAAGAGGAAGTCAGGACAGAACTTATTACTGATGAAACTAATTTGGTTTCTCCTTCAGCTCCCAAAGAGAAGACTACCCCTCATGAAAGTAATCACAGTTTTCCTAAGCTGCTTTGTACTTCACTGCTGATATTTCTCCTGCTATTGGCAATCTCATTCTTTACTGCTTTTATCAGTAAGTATTCCAACTGAATCAGTAAGCAGTGTCTGCCTTACACAAAGAGAAGGTATCCATTAGAAACTGACATTTAACAATGGGTTTATCCAGAAGTCTGAAAAATAAATTTTCTCTGGGGGATGCCATTTGTGGGACTCCATTGTCAATTTTGCTCTTTATTTGGATTATTCTCCTATAAAAATAATAGAATTTATTTTCTTTAAGAAGTTGAAGAGTATGAGAGTGTGTGAGTGTATGTGTTTTTGTTGGAAAGTAAAATCTGTGGGGCATTATCTCTATACTAGACATTGTGAACGTGAGGACAAATCTACATTTCCTTAATAGCATTTATAAGGCCTGTCTAATGTGAGTGCACAGGCACTTATATTTTGAGATGAGCAGGTGGAAAAGAAGGAGATGGGAAAAAATATTCCGGGAAGAGTTCTCCATTGAATTTCATTCTAATTTTTTCAGTCGTGCTCAGGACTGTGTGAGATATAAAAGCCAATTTAGCAAACAGGTGTATTCTACATATCTTTGGCTTTCAGAATTCATCAAATTTTTACAAGGCATAAAAAAGTACATATTTGAGTAGATATTTTATTCATTCATTTGGCTGTTCAATAAGTAGTAATGGCCATCTGCTGTATGTCAGGCACTGTCCCAGAGAGTCCAGACAGAGCCACAGCCCCTGCCTGGTCTCAGGAAATTTAGAGAATAGTCAAATAACCCACTGGTTACAACATTATATGATAGATCTTATGCAGGTAAAAAGTAGGCACAGGAGACTGAAGTAGGCTCTTGGAGGAGGTGACATCTAGAGCTGTGTATACTGACAATGACAGAGATATGAGAAAGCATGGAAAAATTGGGAAATATAAGTATGCATGACTGGCACAGGTACTAACTAAAGAGCTAAGAAATGGAGTTGTAGGTGGTAGAAATAAATAGGACTCAGGTTATGAAGAGTGTTGTGTTTGGACTTTCTCCCCTAAAGTTTATTTTATCAATTATTTTTTGCTGCTTAGTGGATTAAATAAACCAATTATTTATTTAGCTCATGATTCTGTGGTTTGGCCATTTAGACTGGTCTCAGTTGGGAGTTTCCTCTGGTCCTGAGCAAACTTACACATGTGTAGTCAGGCACCAGTCACAGGTAGCTCAACTTTTGAGGAACAGGATGTCAGCTGGAAGGACAGGAGCAATTTGGCCACATTTCTCTCAACGTTCATTGTCTAGCCTGAGCTCATTCACATAGCAACTTTCAGACCGAGAGCAGAAGTAAGCAAAGCCTCTTGAAGTCTTAACTTGGAACCAGCACAGAGCTGTTTCTGCACATTCTATTGGCCAAAGGAAGTTTTAAAGGCAGCCCAGATTCAAGGGGTGGGGAAAAAGACCCCATTTCTTGATTGGAGAAGCTCCAAAGTCACATTGCAGATGAATGTGCATACAGGGAGGCCTGAAAATTATGGCCATTTTTGCAATATGTCACAGTCATGGAGAGCCACTGAAGAGTATAAAACAGGAATCATAATAAACTTGACTGACAGAAATATGTTTTTACAGAGGTGTGGAAAATGGATATATGAGGACAAAACTGGAGGCAAAGAGAGAAGTTAGAAGACTAATTCATTAATACAGTTGAGAAATAGTGACAGCCTGATTAAGTCTAGTGTTAGTGAAAAAAGAAGTGGAGGGAGCTTTGAGTGATAAAGGAAGCAGGATAAAGAGGTAGAGGCTTGATGAAGATTTACATCTGGGGAGTAAGGGACCCAAAGAAGTAAAGTGTGACTCCAATATTCTGAGTTGGTTGACTGAGAAATCATGAAGTTATTTAAAGAGGTAGACAATAGAGGATGGGTCGTAGGTTTGGTTTAGAAGATGATGATTTAAGTTTTGGGCATGTTGAGTTCCTGTATGATTGTGGGAACTTTCGGTTGACTGAGAAATCATGAAGTTATTTAAAGAGGTAGACAATAGAGGATGGGTCGTAGGTTGGGTTTAGAAGATGATGATTTAAGTTTTGGGCATGTTGAGTTCCTGTATGATTGTGGGAACTTTAAATGCATATAGGTCTAATGGGAGACATTTGTCTGGATTTCAGAAGAGAGCTCTGGAAGTCATTTACATATAAATAGCAGGTGACACCATGAGATATATATCATTCGGGGGGAAGATTTAGTATGAGAAGGAGGAATAAGGATGGAACTCTGGGGAATGTTACATTTTAAAAGAGGTGGATGGAGGAAGAGGAGCATATAAAAGAATATAAGAAGCAGCAGCAAGAAAGATGAGGCAAAACCAGGGAAGAGCAGTGTCCCAAGAGTTGAGAGGAAAGAAACTGGGGTCAAATGTTGTAAGAGGTAGACAGGAGGATGACTAATAAGGGGTCCTGGGATGTTACTGATGATCTATTCAAGGATGGTTTTAGTGAGGTAGTGGAAGCAAAAGCCCAAATGTAGTGGGACAAGGAGCAAATGGGAAGTGAGGAGGAAAGAAAGAAAAGACGGTGTCTACAGGGAAAGGTAGGTTAGTTTTAAACTGGGAGAGACATGAGCGTGTCAGTGTGCCGAGGAGTAAGAGCCAGTTGAAACGGAGCGAGCAAAGGAAAGAAGAGGAAGGGAATATTGTCCTCTTGATCAATGTTGGGTTTTGTTTTTAAATTCTCCATTCATCAAAGTAACACAGAACTCCTCAGAATGAACTAATTTCAACGCCCCCAAAAGACCCAGCCTGTGTGCATCCTGAAGTGCAAGTATTTATCTACCGTCTACTCTGTCTTCCCAAGGTTTAGCCTCTACGTGCATCTTACATTAAGTATTGAAGGGAAATATGGATAAGTCCCTTCAGACTCATTATGATGGAACTGTCATGTCCTCTTTCAACTACTGATCTTTCAGCTATTCCTCGGCATATCTATGGTTTCAAAATCAGTAGTATTAAGATTACATTGACTGTGGGGTGATGGGAAATCTTTTTCATTCAGGATGAATCTACTCAAATAATTGGACATTTGTAGATTTTGTTTCTATACAGAATGCAAGAAAATAACATAAAGAGCAAAGTCATAATGCTATCAGGAAAATGAACGGTCTTTATTCTCTTTTCCAGTATTCTTTCAAAAATATTATCAGCTTCTTGAAGAAAAAAAGACTATAAAAGAACTGGTTCACACAGAATTGGAGTGTAAAAAAGAAAATTTGACCACAGAAGGTAAAAATTAATGTGTCTAGAATTCAGTTGTTGATTACACTATGTAAGGATCCCAAATCAATATTTACAGTAAGATTTCCAGGTACATCATACTAAGAACTTAAGTCTCATGATCACTTTAAGCTACAAGTGTACAGATATATAGGACATAAAATTCTTATATGTATATCCTTAATTTCTCTATGAAAGGAAATAGAGGCTCACTTGTGAAAAAGACTGCATTGCTTTTAGATTTCTTCAGCCTTTGCTTCTTTCTGGACTTTTTGTTTTATTGGCAGCTGGCCAGTGTGGGGGATCCGAACCCTTGACCTTGGTGTTATCAGCATCATGTTCTAACCGAGTGAACTAACCAGCCCTATTTTCTATTGAACCCTGGACATTTTTGTATTATGTTTTCGGAGTCTGGATCTTATTTCAACATTACGTTTTAGCTGGTTTTCCTGATACCACTCCAGTAGGCAAAAGAGGACCTGCATCATTACTGCTTGCTGGAGGTAGACTTGGCCTCCTTGACATAGGATGGGCGGGGGCTTCTTGTTACAACTGAGCGGGGATGTGAGTTCTAGCTTCCATTTTAATAACACACACACTTTTAAAAGTGATTTTCTTATACTACGCTTTTATGCTCCTCTCCCCAATATAGAGAAAGTCTGGAGCTGTTGCCCCAAAAACTGGAAGCCATTTAGTTCCAACTGCTACTTTATTTCTACTGAATCAAGATCTTGGAACGAGAGTGAGCAGAGCTGCTCTGCAATGGAGGCTCACCTGCTGGTGATCAACTCCAAGGAAAAGCAGGTGCTTCCTCATAGACAACGGAGTTGCGAGCCCTGTCTGATTTTGTACATCTCTCTCGGCTAAGGAGATTTTTATTGTTTTGGGATATTGGCGCTATGGTAGAAGGCTTTCATTAAAGTAGGTAAACTGTCCCCTATGCCTTTACATTCCACATCTTCTTCCTGCTTCAATAAAACTAACCCTCCCCAAAAGAAATTATGGCATTAAAAATATAACATGTGGAGGTTAAGTGGAAAGATGAAAATATTTTGGCCTGAAATATGAGTTTGTCACTTCAACATGCAAATGTTTTATAAATTATTAACTACTTAATAGAGAAGGAGTATTAAGTTGAATGGAAAATCAAGTTAAATCATGAAGAAGCACAATCAATAATCAGGAATGAAATTAAAGAATCTCTGAAGAAAAATGATTAAATCTGCAAAAATTCTTGTACCCAACTTTGAAGAATGCCATGTCTTTGTAACGAGGAAGAGAAGGGAGTCTGAGATGAGAATTCATTATGGTCGTGGGTAGAAATTGCTCCATGTGTGTTGCCAGTGTCCTGCTCCCAGGGCAGGGAGGACCTGCCCTCCAGGCTGGGGCCACCTTGTGGCTGGTCCTCAGTCTTCCCCCTTTCTTGTCACTTACCTAAGATTCAAACTGAGTCCTCTAAAGACTGCAACTCTCTTTTCGTCCCTCAGGATTTCATCACCAGTCAGCTGCAAAAAAAATATGCTTATTATTTGGGGCTGTCAGACCCACAGGGAAATAGCCAATGGCAATGGGTTGATCAGACGCCATACAACAAAAATGTCACGTGAGTACAGAATTAAGTGAGAAAATTGTGAGTGCTCCATCACGTGGGGCTTTTAGGGTGTTTCAGCTGTCAGTACAAAGCTAAAATACTTCCTCTTCTTTTAACTCTTGGGCCCTGGGTTAAATAATTTTAGTTATTATCTCATTTGATCATCACAAGAACCCCATGGTACACACACTGGTTTGCCACTGGAGATGAAAAAAATCGAGTTTGGAGATAGTTCAGTTAAAGTCACCCAACTGTGGCAACACTAGTCTTCAGATACGGGTGGATTTGACACCAAACTCTGTGCTATTAAGCAGTACGTTTATATCTCTAAATAGAACAAAAATTCGTGTCAATTAACATCATAACCAATTATTAATATTTAATATCTTTCATAAAGCGGAAACGCTAAATTCTGAAAGTCGTGATGTAAGTTCTTTAGTACGTTACCAACACCGATCCTCAGCGCTACTGTGTGAAATACATAGTGGCTCTGCTCGAGTCCCCATTTTTTAAATAGGAAGACTGAGAATCAGGGAAGTGAAACTCCTTGTCCAAGATAACAGTATAAGTAGAAGATCCAGAGATTTTAACTACTTCTTCAGACTCCAAAAACAGTGCATTAAAAAAGGAACAAACCGTTGATACATTGACCGGGGTGAATCTTTTTATTATTTAAGGAAGCCCTACAGGTTGACAGTCCTATCTGCTGGGAGGATATTTAATGCAATAAGGTGAGAGAGTGCTGAGCGATGTGAGCACAGTTCCTCAGGGAAATACATGGCAGAGATGCAGGTGGAGGAGAAACCGCATGAGAAGCGGGCAGAGTTGATCTGGGCACATCTGACCCTGATTTCCACGAAGTTTAACCCCATCCCCCCACTCCTTACTGTCTCTGACCTTATTCAAAGCGCTGTTTGAAGGAATACTCTAATCCTTTTTCTTCCTTTCAGATTCTGGCATTCAGGTGAGCCCAGTAATGGTGACGAGCATTGTGTTATGATAAATGCTCGTTCACAAAGATGGGGCTGGAATGATGTCCGTTGTGATGGTAAACAAATGTCGATTTGTGAGATGATGAAGATCTACTTATGAATTGAATTATTCTCTGTGGACATGTGGTTGGATTGGCATCCATCATTAAAAAGACAGCTAATGAGCTCTCTTTATTTATGTGTAAGGGGGTGCCCATAGAAGCATTAGCAGGCTGTTACCTATTCTACTTATGATAGAAAGGTCCACACACTATTTATTTATTCATTAATAAAGTGAGCATTTATTGAGTGCTTTTCATGTGCCAGAGATGATACTGGAGACCCCTTTTGTGCACACATGGAGGGAGCATGACCCTCCTCTCCTAAGTTCTGTCTGATTGCTCAGGGGTTGTTTCCCAGTATAATTATATGATGTGTTTCCTCCACCTGTCGGGTTTTCATCTCTTCCCCAGCTTTACTGATGCATAATCGATAGATAAAACTGTATATATTTAATGCGGACAATATGATAATTTGATATATGAGGGTACTTCAAAAAATTTGTGTAAAAAATTGAATTAAAAGTAATACAAATCCTTCCATGAACTTTTTAAAGACCCCTTATACATATATATTGTGAAATGATACCACCATCAAGTTAGTTAACACATTCGTCACCTCAGTTACCCTTCTTGTGAGAACGTTTAAGATGTACTCCCAGGAAATTTCTAGTGTACAATGTGGTACTATTTGCTGTGGTCCCGATGCTGTGCAGCAGATCCGCAGAACTCATTCATCTTGTAATTGAAAGTCTGTGCCCTTTGACCCACATCTCCCCACTTATCTGAAGCCCCAGCCCTTGGCAACTACCATCCTACCCTTTGTTTCTACAAGTTTAATTTCTTTTTTAGATTCCAGAAAGAAGTGAGATCATACAGTATTTGTCCCTTTGACCCACATCTCCCCACTTATCTGAAGCCCCAGCCCTTGGCAACTACCATCCTACCATTTGTTTCTACAAGTTTAATTTCTTTTTTAGATTCCAGAAAGAAGTGAGATCATACAGTATTTGTTATTCTTCCTGTGACTTATCTCACTTAATATAATGCCATGTTTTTGACAACGGCAGGATTTATTTTCTAAGGGCTGAGTAATATGTCATTGTGTGTATATACTACGTTTTCTTTATCCATGCATGCAGGGGCAGACAATGTGGTTTTTCACGGCTCTAGTGAGTAATACTGCAATTAACATAGGAGTTACAGGGTTCTAAGGCCCTGATTTCATTTCCTCTGGATACATACCCAGAATTGGGATGGCTGGATCACACTGTAGTTCTATTTTTACTATTTTGAGAAAACTTCATACTGCTTTTCATAATGGCTGTACCACCTTGTGTTTTCACTGATAGTGTAGGGGATTTCTTTTCCTCCACATCCATTGCCCGAAGTTGTTTTCTTTCCTTTTTCTGATATATCCATCCCAAAAGGTGTGAGGTGATGTCTCCTTGTGGTTTTGATTTTCATTGTCGTGATGATTAGTAATGTTGGGTACTTTTCGTGTACCTGTAGGCCATTGTATGTCTTCATTAGAAAAAAATTTGTTCAGATCTTTTGCCCATTTTTTTTTTTTACATTTTTTATTGAGTCATCATTGATTGTACATATTTTGGGGGTTCAACATTGGGAGCGCCGCCACGCTTCCCAAGCGGCGCACTATCCAGTGCGCCACTGGGCCGGCCCCTACATTTCTTTCTTT